CTGCGAAAAAAGCACACTTTCGGGTCTGACAAAAAAGCTGTTGCACACTAGCCGTGGCAGTGCTGACACGCCCAAAAACCGCATAAAAAGCCACAACACTCGCTGGCGCATTGTAATACGGCGAAACTGAACCACCATTAAATAAATCTGCTTGCTACTGCCGGCTTGTGGTTTAGGTTCTTGAGCCATAGCGCTAGAGGAGATTAGCTTGAACAAGCGGCTGTTAGAAACCTGCCCGTACTCACAATTTCCATCAAATGTCAGGAAAATGGAAGCCGTTCAGGCTACATGCAAAAACATAAACTGAGTAACAGTAAACAGAAGGCATGTGCAAATCAATTTTCAAAGCCCTTGTAAAACGAAATATATTTTATGGAAATCAATTCCAAAGTATGTTTTCTCCTATTCCTGTGGTTCAAGTCCTTATCAGATTTAATATTAAAAATAATATCTTCCAGTTTGCGAAAGGTTTTTCCCTCCCGAATAATTTTGAACTAGATCTGTCGTTGAATATGCACTCAGTACTAACAGTCTACAGGCTGCATATTTTCAGTGTAATGGTAGTCATATATGCCTCTATGCCATTAAACAGATACCACATAGAGCTCAGAAAATTATGTGCTGATGTGGACAATGTTGGAGTCCTCGGACCTTGCAGTGTCCAGCTAAATCACGTAATCAAAAAACTCCTTAAAACGGAACATACACTTTCTCGGAATGTAAAATTTGAAGACGATGTGATTATTTGCCAAAAGACTACAAGTGATAATATTTTTGTATTGTCACTTGACCAAATTATGAAAAATTCGTGGCCCCAGTGGGAGTCGAACCCACACAACGAGGAAGCCTTTCGCGCAGTCAACGCTCTCCCATTAAAATACGCGGCTCACTGCTACCCGTGATATTAATCACACTTGGGTCAATTTACCCGTCCAACCTACTGATCGTATGGAATCCGCCATTACGCAACAGCAAACTGACTGCCCAGGCAGGATCTCCTTGGCAATCATCTAGGATCCACCAGAATGACTACTAGGTTTACTTACTCGTTAGGATGGTTTGGCCTTAGTGTGGTTAAATTCACGGCTCACGGTGAGAGTCGTAGCTCAATAGTAGAGCGTTGGCTGCACACAAGCCTTCCCTGCTGAATGGGTTCGACTCCCACCGAGGCCGCAAAATGGTTTTCAATTAGGAAATCTGCCAAAACCCCTAATACTTTTGTATATATTTTCTTAAAACTATATTCCAATTTGTAAGGGTATCAGAACTCGATAGAAAATAGTAATTTGTTTTTCAGACGTCCAAAAAAGGGATGCAGCAATCAGAAGCATCCATCTAAGGGTGTCTGAAATAGTGTGGGATTATGTCACACGATAATTAAAGATTACAAACCTACTCAGACAATTCTTGCAAACGAATTTTATAATTTTGATTAACATTTCATGAGATCAGTCACTGACTGTAACCTGCCAATCGGAAGTAAGTTTATTTTGAGATCAATTATACGGCGATGCTGATTGAAATGATGACTATTTGACAATGAGGAAGGCAAAACGTCTCGGAATTTATGATTTTTCGGAACAAACACCAATACCTGTATGGTGTATTATTTTTATAAGGAACACTCGTCTATAAATAAAGGCAGGGTTTTCTATCAACTTAACAGAAAATACTGGATCTTATTTGTTAGGATTCCAGCCTTACCGAATGGTTACATAACCTTGCAGGCTGTCCTGCCGTGTCATGCCCGTGGCCGACTGCCTACAACGATTCCTTTGTCAATGCGGACTGCCTCAAGGTCATATGCCTTCGCTGGTGACCGCCTTCGGCCGACCGCCAACAATGGTTCAATGGGAGCGGTCTCAAGGACTTGTGTTTTCAACGTGACTGTCCTCAGGGGATGACCTTAAACGACTGAATCAGATCGCACACACACGTGCGCACACGCACGCGAGCCCACGCGCGTGCCCAACTTGTTGCAGTTCCTCAAGGGCCACT